AAACAAATCTGAAATTTTTATTCAGATTACTAGTATCTGACTAGTAAAATCTCTAACCCTGAATCAAACTGCCTCTGTTCCTATAACCAGGTTGCTAATTAAATATGGGGAAAAATCTGGGGCACCTGGGTGGCACAGTCAGTTAAGCACCTGACTTTGGCTCAGTTTTGTGAGTTCGAGCCTGCTGTTGGCCTCAGATCCTCTGCCTCCCTCTCTCTCTGCCCCTCCCCTGTTACGTCCTCTCTCTCTCTCACCCAAGTACTAACGAGGCCCGACTCTGCTTAGCTTCCAAGATCAGACAAGATCAGGTGCATTCAGGGTGTTATGGCTATAGACACGCTCTCTCTCAAAAATAAATAAAAACACCTAAAATAAGTAAATAAAAATATATTAAAAAAAATTTAAGATAGAGAAAAATCACACATCCATAGACTACCCATAAAACACTTGCCTCCTATGTTAACTGGGCTCTCATCATTGTCTGGCAACTTTACAGGTTCCTAGTCACAATACTTTCCTATTTCCTACAATGGTTATCTTAAGTCTTCTCTGCTATCTCTACTATCCTCACATTTACTACAGTCTCTTCAAACTATCATATTCCCCAACCCTCAGCAGACTATTATATTTTACTATACTCAGGGGATAAAAAGACATCACATGGAATTACTTCAACTTCCTGCCACCTCTGTTACAAGCATCCTTGTGCACAGTAAAGAGCACAGGCTCTAAGGCTAAATCCCTGGATTAGAATCCAGACTCTGCCACTTACTAGAGATGTGATCCTGGGCAAGTTGCTTAGCCTCTCAGTGCCTCTGTTCCTCACTGTACCCTCTGCAGCCCCTTTCAAGCAACAATCAAAATCACACCATTTATCTCTTCTCTGAAGTGTTTCCTATACCTCCTTGGTTCACAGCATTGTTGTGAGAATTAGTTAACACAGAGTGCTTGTTAACAGTGCCTGGCACATAGGAAGCCCCCAATAAATGTTAATCATCTGTTACCATCATTATCAGCATCTGCAACTATCCTTACCTCCAGAAACAACACAAGAGGCATTCTCCTGTTCTACTGTAAATCCTTCACCAGTGTTCTGGTCACCATTCCTTCAAGGGATTTGAACATCAATTATCCCCATTTCCTTGCACATAGTGTATAAACATGCTTATTTCTCACCCATCTTAAAAAATAACCTCCCACAAACCCATATCCCTGTCCAGATACTTCTTCTTACCTCAACCCCATCTCTAACCACCCTTCATAATCAAGATTTTTAGTTGTCCACATTACCTGTCTCCATTTCTCCAATATCTATTAGTCATCATCCCACTTCAGTTTGGGTTCAGAATTCAATGCTCTACCAAAATGGCTTTTGCTAAGGCAGTGGTCCTCAAAAGGGGCAATCATGCACCCCAAACTGTGTCCCCAAAGGACATTTGGCAGTGTCAGACATTCTGATGGTCACAACTGGGGGCCGCACCTGGAGTCTCGTGGTAGAAGCCAGGGATGCTGCTAAACATCCTGCAACAAAAAGGGCAACCCCCCATACCAAAGACTTCTCCAACCCAAATGTCAGTAGTCCCAAGGTTGAGACACCCTGTGCTAAGGTAATTTAGAGCCTCCATATTGCTAAATACGAGTGCTTTCTATATGCACTCTGTATGACTTGGCCGGGCTTGAGCACTTGACACCACTAGCTTCTCCCTCTTTAAAATCCATGCTTCCTTTGGGTTCCACCAACACCTCACTGGCCATTTCTAGTCTCTATTTCAGGATCCTCTTCTATGATCTCTTAAGTATTAGTATTTCTCAGGGTCCTATCCTAGGCTCTTCTCTCTATATATACTGTCTCCCCAAACCATTAAAATCAACTGAGGCTCTTATTAAATGGCCAGGCCGAAGAGATTTCATTGTTTTGGAATAGAACCCAGCATCGTTGTGTTTAAAAAAAAATCCTTGCTAATTCTAATATAGAGCTTGGATGGTGAAGAACTACTCTAGACAGTCTTATTATATCCACTCAGCACTTTAATTACCATTTATGTATTAGTGGCTCATTAATCTCAAATCTGTACCTATAATAGATTCATTCATTTAGCCAATATTCATTGAGTTACCTACTCTGTGCCTGACACTGTTCTAAGCACTGGGGTAGAACAGTCAACAACAGACAAGGTTCCCTACTCTCCTGGAGCTTATATTCTTTTTTTTTTTTTTTTTTAACGTTTTATTTATTTTTGAGACAGAGAGAGACAGAGCACAAATGGGGGAGGGGCAGAGAGAGAGGGAGACACAGAATCGGAAGCAGGCTCCAGGCTCTGAGCCATCAGCCCAGAGCCCAACGCGGGGCTCGAACTCACGGACCATGAGATCGTGACCTGAGCTGAAGTCGGCCGCTTAACCGACTGAGCCACCAGGCGCCCCCTGGAGCTTATATTCTAATGAAGAGAGAAACTGACAACCACAAAAAGATCATTTCAAATAATGATAAATACTGTGATGACATTATAAGAGGTGATAAGAGTCACTGAGGAGAGGCAGTATTTTAGATAGAAGGCCAGGGAGGAGGGTGGAATCTGACCCAACATTGCAATGAAAAGGAATCAGCCATCTGAATATTTGAGGAAGGTGAATCCGAAACAAAGCATATAAAGATACTACAGCAAAAGCATATTGGTACCATGAAGAATTAACACCAATGTGGTTAAAGCAAGGTTAGTATGGATAAATGTTACACAATAAGGTTGGAGAGGGAGACAGAGGCCAGTTCATAAGCATTCCGCAAGTCAGGGTAAGGAATTTATAGCCTACATGTAACAAAAGTCAATGGGGCACCTGGCTGGCTCAGTCATTAGAGCACGTGACTCTCAATCTAAGGGTCATAAGTTTAAGCCCCACGTTGGGTATGAAGCTTCCCTAAAATAAAAATAAAAGTCATTGAAAGCCTTTAAAAAGGCATGACATAGTCTGATGCACATCTTTACAGTATCATTTGGCTACTATGGGAAAAATAGACTTTACAGGAAAAAGAATGTATAGGAGAGAAAGTGATCTGGAAAGGGAATCAAAAGTTCTGTTTAGTCCCGTCAGAGTTACGGAAACAGAAAAGAAAGGAAAAGAAAAAAGTTCTGTTCAGTACATCTTAATAAAAAGGTCAAGTAGGAAGCTGAATATAATCCAGAGTGAAGGAAGGCAAGAGGTCAAGACTAGAGGCTTAAATTTGGTAATCATCAGTGTATTAGATGGTATTTAAAGCCACAGCCTGAATGAGTTCTTCCAGGATGAAAATGAGTGTAAGTTGAAAAGGAAAAAGTGATTCAGAACAAGCTCTGAGAAACCTCCTACATCTGAAGGTCAGGCAGAGAAGCAGCAAAGGAAGCAGAAGTCAGTACAGAAAAAAAAAATCAGCATGCATAATGTTGAATGCCAACTTTCTAAGCTGCAGATTTGCACAACCCAGCTACCTACTCATTTCCCCTAATCTTGCTCCCAAACCTGTTCCTTTCCCAGTGTTTTCTATTTAAATGAATAGCACATCTACCCAATCACCAGGCTAGAAACCTGGCTTTTCTCCCCATAATTTCTGACATCCAGCCAAATCCTGTTCAGTGTCCCTCCCTCATTTCTCAAATCAATTTAGTTATCTCCTCCTTGTCCAGTCACTATCTGAGCTCAGACCAATATCATCTCTCACCTGGCTTACCATTCTGTCTCCAGTCCAGCCTCTCCACAAGGCAGCCATCATCATCTTTCAGTTGATGCCACTCAGGTCAGGCTACTGCCCTGGTTAAAATCTTTTAATGACTCCCTATTTGGAGGCAGGGGAAAAATGAAATGCAAGAAGGACCTTCTCACCAAGCATGTTTACCTCTCCAGTCTTACCTTTTGCAGGGTCATCCTTGAACTCCTCCCTCTAACCACAATGTACTATATACAATTCTCAAATGCAGAGCCTGTTCTTCACTCTCTTAACTCCTGATTTGTTCATGTCATTAGTTTTCTGCTGGGAATACCTTTCCTCACCCAGCCTTCTTACTTAGCCAACTCCTACTCTTCCCTCAAGACTTACCAAGCCTTCTCGACTGTACATGACTGGATCATGTCCTTCCAACCAGCCTTCAAAGTACCTTGTACTTAATTCTTATTGGAGTACTTGTCAGACTGTATATTGTCTGTTTGCTTGAGGGGCAACTTATCTAGCATCTGGTGCAATGCCTTACCCCTGATAAGTGTAGGAGAAATAGTTCTTTAATGAATGCCAAGTAACATACCCAGCACACTGGTATCTTCACCCTGGCTTGTCATCAAATCCTTACTCTTCCTACATAACCCTTAGACTTCCACATTCCCAGCATCTAGAACACTGCCCTAAATAAATGGCTCACAGCTGTAAACCGCCATTAAAGTGACTGTATCAAAACCATCTGGTGAGCCTGATATAGATTCCTAGGTCTAGCTCCCCACACTTAACAAGTTTTGACCAAGTAGACCTGGGGTGAGGCCTAGAAATCTAATCTTGATAACCTCCTCGGGTAATTGTGACATGCAGTCATTCTTGCCAATTAATACTCTAAACAGAGCAGGAGCTCAGTATTGTTGAAAGTAACGTTTTAAGTTAATGAAACAGAATGAATTTCCTAATTCTTTAGGGTTACAGTCTGCTGTAACTGAATCCTGAGTGTGATAGAACAATGCACTAATGTACAAAAGTCCACAAAACAAGCAGCCTTTATTGCAGTAATACAAAACACTTTCCATTTTGGCAATATTTTACAACGCACTTAGCTTCAAGGGTTGGAAAGGAGAGGTGGAAAACTAAATGGGGAAATTTCAATGGACATTTCTAAAAGAAAAACTGTCCCAGCCCTCCCACCCAAATAAAAATCCAAATGTCACTTAATTTCACTACCCAAGAAGAGGCCACGAGGAAAGCAGCAGGCAAAACTCTGGCAATTTCACTATGGATCATGTCAGAGACAAAGGAACATTCAAAACAGTCATCAGTATGGTCGGTTGCGCTGATCATTTCTGTAGTCGTTTCTAGGAATGAAAAATAAAGAGCCAGACTAAATTCTAATTTTCTACCAAGGGGGAGCATCAGACACTTCCTCAGGGTGCTGGTGACTGGCATCAGCTTGACAATTTCTGTAAGAATGACACCATACCTAATTTATTTCTCTACTCCTAGAAGTGCTTAATAAACATCTAATTTATCAGCTTTAAGACCCACAAAGTTCCTGGAAGATTTTGCTATCACTGAGTCTTAAAAACTTTCCATCTACAGTAAGGACTCTAAACCGCTGTCAAGCACTCTTAACAGACGAGTGGCATAACAGAAAAAGGAAAGCACACATTTTCATGTAAGAATTCTGGGTCTGCCACTTACTATGTGACCTTGGAAAAGTTACACAACGTTTCCTACTTCACAAAATGGGAAATACATCTACCTCATGGAGCTGAGGACTAAACTAAAGAATAGAAAGACACTTCCACAGGATTTGCTATACAGTAAGACATGTTCAATAGATAATTACTAGTATCTAACAATTATATAGCACTTACTGTGGGCCAGGAACTCTCATTACATGATCTAATACAACTCCATGAAGGAGGTATTACTGGCCCCATTTTATAGATGGGAATGCTAATGCTCCAAAGGGTTAAGTAACTTGCCTAACATCACACAGCTAGTAAGTGGTGAAGCCAGAATTTGAAACCAGAGACTTCTTATCTCTGAACTTCATGCTCTTAACCATATGCTATACTAATTCTCACTACCCTATACTGCATCTGGCATACAGATGCTTAGTATGATAATCGAAGTTGTTTTTCATCAACTTTTCTGCCTCTACACCATTCATGTGCACAACACACTCCCATCAGTACCATCAGGAATTTTCATCTGGAAAAGGGATTACCAGACTCTCCAGAGAAACAACTACAGGGTGGCACGTGTCACATGTGATCTCAGAAAATGCCCCTATGAAAGGTGTGCTCCCCTCACTTAACATTAAGAACCTCTGATTTACATACAGTTTCAAATTACCTCTCAATCTCAATTAACTTTAGCCATGAGAAAATACCACAGCCATATACACACCCTCATACAAATATAGATTTATGAAACAATTTCCAAAACAAAATGAGTTTTAGAAATTTCTAAGCAAGAAAACGAAATGAATCTTCTCCATGAGAGTTTCCAATGAAAAATTCAAGTTCCAAACAACTGGACATTAAGAAAATGTGACAAAAAGGGCTCGGATCCTAAACCCTAGGAGCAGTAAAATAAAAAGATTAACAAGTACATTGTAATACTCACCTTCCTCCCATTTTGCCTCCATAGCCACCTCGGTCTCCTCCATAGCCACCACCACTCCTGTCTCCTCCATAGCCTCCACTTCGGTCTCCACCATAGCCACCGCCGCCACGGTCTCCTCCATAGCCCCCCCCACTTCGATCTCCTCCATAGCCGCCTCGGTCTCCACCATAGCCGCCTCGGTCTCCACCATAGCCGCCTCGGTCTCCGCCGTAGCCACCTCCTCGGTCTCCTCCATAGCCTCCGCCTCGGTCTCCCCCATAGCCTCCGCCTCGGTCTCCTCCATAGCCGCCGCCTCGGTCCCCACCATAACCGCCGCCTCGGTCCCCACCATAGCCGCCCCCACTTCTGTCTCCACCATAGCCACCCCCACTTCTATCTCCTCCGTAGCCGCCGCCACCACTTCTGTCTCCTCCATAGCCACCTCCACTTCTGTCTGCACCATAGCCGCCTCGGTCTCCACCTCTTCCCCCACGACCTCTATAGCCCCTCTCTCCACCATAGCCTCTTCCTCGGAAATCTGCAAGGTAAAAATGCAAATCAGCAAGGCCAGCAGAATAATGTAAAGCACCCTTAATGCTAGTCAGAAGATAAATGCCATGGAATTGCTGTTAAAAAGCTGACCCACCTCCTCCTGAGGGACGAGAATCCTCTGGTCTGGGCTCATTACACTGGTTGCAGGAATTCCTTCGAGCAAAGTTCATATTTCCACATGATCTGAGAAAGGAGGAAAATAAAAATGTTCAATAGTTTCCAATTGATTCAGAACCCCCTCTTGCATCCTCTGACCCCAATCCCAACCCTATTACTGACAAAATAAATGAGATACTTACGGATTAGGGCAAACCCAGTCCCCACTTTTGGGGTCTCCACCTCTCCCCTGAAAGCCTCCACGACCTCTGTATCCTCCACGGCCTGGGGGAAAGAGGAGTAGGGGAAAAAAACTAGCAGTAGACATTAATGAAACAGAGGAAAAGCCAGAGCAAGTACCCATCAATAACTGGGCGGTCACCCCAAAATGAACCCCTTATGGTAGGACCCTGATTCTTTTCATTTGAGGCTTTATTTAGTAAATCCAAGAAATGTGGGAAAAGACCGCAAGCACATAATACAGTGCATTATTTAATGCACTAAAAAACTTCAAAGTCCACTTTCTATAATACCCTCCTTAGTCTGAGAATCTCAGTGATAAAGGCAGAGAAAACATATTCGAAATTTAAGAAATTAAACACAATAGAAATGAATTAAGGTGACGGCAACTGTATCAGGGAATTTATAAACTGGTCAGATTACCTAATTAAGTATCATTTAAGCAACTGTCTCCTGATCTCCATGTGAATAAAAAACTGCTACACAGCTTTCCAAAGGGATTTCTAGAACCTTCTTTCAACTACTTTCTTAGCTATTATGACACCTTATTTACCCAATCTCCTTTCAGTATCCACTCTCACTTTAAGATATAAGGAAAAAGATGGAGTGCCTGGGTGGCTCAGTTGGTTGGAGTGTCCAAGTCCTCATTTCAGCTCAGGTCATGATCCCAGGGTCGTGGGATTGAGCCCTGTGCTGAGCATGAAGCGAGCCTGTTTGGGATTCTCTCTCTCTCTCCCCGCTTCTCCTGTGTGCCTGCACCCTCTCTAATAAATAAAAATTTATTTTAAAAGAATTACAAACTAAGGGGTGCCTGGGTGGCTCAGTTGGCTAAATGTCCGACTTGGGCTCAGATCATGATCTCACAGCTCATGGGTTCAAACCTCACGACAGGCTCTGTGCTGGGAGCTTGGAGGCTGAAGCTGTGTCTCCCTCTCTCTCTGCCCCTCCCCCACTTGTGCTCACTCTCTCTCTCTCTCTCTCAAAAATAAATATTTAAAAAAATAATAATTAAAA